ATCTCCAAGGGGCCATGGATATCGTGGACCCTTCCCTTTTCCACAGACCAACTCACTCATTGACTGCCCTTCCCCGCAGATATTCCATTCTACCTCTCTACCTTCTCCATTGACATTCCATTGCATTAGGTGTCTATCTCAAAGGGGCCGCAGATATTGTGGACCCTTCCCTTTCCCAGAGATATTCCATTCTATCTCTCGATTTGCTCCATAGACATTCAACTACATTATCTATCTCTCTACCTTCTCCATAGACATTCAATTGCATTATGTGTCTATCTCAAAGGGGCCGCGGATATTGTGGACCCTTCCCTTTCCCAGAGATATTCCATTCTATCTCTATATCTTCTCCATAGACATTCAACTACATTATCTATCTCTCTACCTTCTCCATAGACATTCCATTGCATTAGGTGTCTATCTCAAAGGGGCCGCGGATATTGTGGACCCTTCCCATTCCCATATACTGCCCTTCCCCGTAGATATTCCATTCTATCTCTCTACCTTCTCCATAGACATTCAACTACATTATCTATCTCTCTACCTTCTCCATAGACATTAATTCGGTGTCTATCTCAAAGGGGCCGCGGATATTGAGGACCCTTTTCTTTCCCATAGACATTCCATTCTATCTCTCTATATTCCCCATAGACATTCAACTACATAGACATTCAACTACATTCCATTCTATCTCTCTACCTTCTCCATAGACATTAATTCGGTGTCTATCTCAAAGGGGCCGCGGATATCGAGGACCCTTTTCTTTCCCACGGACCAACTCCCTCCTTGACTGCCCTTCCCCACAGATATTCCATTCTACCTCTCTACCTTCTCCATAGACATGCAAATACATTATTTATCTCTCTACCTTCTCCATAGACATTCAACTACATTATCTATCTCTACCTTCTCCATAGACATTCCATTGCATTAGGTGTCTATCTCAAAGGGGCCGCGGATATTGTGGACCCTTCCCTTTCCCACAGATATTCCATTCTATGTCTCTACCTTCTCCATAGACATTCAACTACATAATCTATCTCTCTACCTTCTCCATAGACATTAATTCGGTGTTATCTCAAAGGGGCCGTGGATATAGAGGACCCTTTTCTTTTCCCACAGACCAACTCCCTCATTGACTGCCCTTCCCCACAGATATTCCATTCTACCTCTCCACCTTCTCCATAGACAGTTTATCTATCTCTATAGAGGGAGACTCTGCCTCTATCTATCTCTCTACCTTCTCCATAGACATTCAATTGCATTAGGTGTCTATCTCAAAGGGGCCGCGGATATTAAGGACCATTTTCTTCTCCCACAGACCAACTCCCTCATTGACTGCCCTTCCCCACAGATATTCCATTCTACCTCTCCACCTTCTCCATAGACAGTTTATCTATCTCTATAGAGGGAGACTCTGCCTCTATCTATCTCTCTACCTTCTCCATAGACATTCAATTGCATTAGGTGTCTATCTCAAAGGGGCCGCGGATATTAAGGACCATTTTCTTCTCCCACAGACCAACTCCCTCATTGACTGCCCTTCCCCACAGATATTCCATTCTACCTCTCCACCTTCTCCATAGACAGTTTATCTATCTCTATAGAGGGAGACTCTGCCTCTATCTATCTCTCTACCTTCTCCATAGACATTCAATTGCATTAGGTGTCTATCTCAAAGGGGCCGCGGATATTAAGGACCATTTTCTTCTCCCACAGACCAACTCCCTCATTGACTGCCCTTCCCCACAGATATTCCATTCTACCTCTCCACCTTCTCCATAGACAGTTTATCTATCTCTATAGAGGGAGACTCTGCCTCTATCTATCTCTCTACCTTCTCCATAGACATTCAATTGCATTAGGTGTCTATCTCAAAGGGGCCGCGGATATTAAGGACCATTTTCTTCTCCCACAGACCAACTCCCTCATTGACTGCCCTTCCCCACAGATATTCCATTCTACCTCTCCACCTTCTCCATAGACAGTTTATCTATCTCTATAGAGGGAGACTCTGCCTCTATCTATCTCTCTACCTTCTCCATAGACATTCAATTGCATTAGGTGTCTATCTCAAAGGGGCCGCGGATATTAAGGACCATTTTCTTCTCCCACAGACCAACTCCCTCATTGACTGCCCTTCCCCACAGATATTCCATTCTACCTCTCCACCTTCTCCATAGACAGTTTATCTATCTCTATAGAGGGAGACTCTGCCTCTATCTATCTCTCTACCTTCTCCATAGACATTCAATTGCATTAGGTGTCTATCTCAAAGGGGCCGCGGATATTAAGGACCATTTTCTTCTCCCACAGACCAACTCACTCATTGACTGCCTTTCCCCACAGATATTCCATTCTACCTCTCTACCTTCTCCATAGACATTCAGCTACATTATCTATCTCTCTACCTTCTCCATAGACATTAATTCGGTGTCTATCTCAAAGGGGCCATGGATACTGAGGACCATTTTCTTTTCCCACAGACCAACTCACTCCTTGACTGCCCTTCCCCACAGATATTCCATTCTACCTTCTCCATAGACATTCAACTACATTATCTATCTCTCTACCTTCTCCATAGACATTCCATTGCATTAGGTGTCTATCTCAAAGGGGCTGCGGATATCTGGGACCCTTCCATTTCCCACAGACCAACTCACTCAATGACACCCTTCCCCACAGTCTATATTCCATTCTACGTCTCTACCTTCTCCATAGACATTCAACTACATTATCTATCTCTCTAACTTCTCCATAGACATTAATTCGGTGTCTATCTCAAAGGGGCCACGGATAGGACCATTTTCTTTTCCCACAGACCAACTCACTCCTTGACTGCCCTTCCCCACAGATATTCCATTCTACCTTCTCCATAGACATTCAACTACATTATCTATCTCTCTACCTTCTCCATAGACATTCCATTGCATTAGATGTCTATCTCAAAGGGGCCACGGATATTGTGGACCCTTCCCTTTCCCGTAGACTGCCCTTCCCCGTAGATATTCCATTCTACCTCTCTATCTTCTCCATAGACATTCAACTTCATTATCTATCTCTCTACCTTCTCCATAGACATTAATTATCTATCTCTCTGCCCTCTCCATAGACATTCAAGTACATTGGGTGTCTATGTCAAACGGGCCGCGGATATTGTGGACCCTTCCCTTCCCCGTAGATATTCCATTCTATTTCTCTATCTTCTCCATCGACATTCAACTACATTATCTATCTCTCTACCTTCTCCATAGACATTAATTTGGTGTCTATCTCAAAGGGGCCGCGGATATCGAGGACCCTTTTCTTTTCCCACAGACCAACTCCCTCATTGACTGCCCTTCCATTCCATCTCTCTATCTTCTCCATAGACATTCAACTACATTTACCTTCTCCATAGACATTAATTTGGTGTCTATCTCCAAGGGGCCGCGGATATCGTGGATCCTTCCCTTTCCCACAGACCAACTCACTCATTGACCACCCTTCTCCATAGACATTCCATTCTATGTCTCTACCTTCTCCATAGACATTCAACTACATAATCTATCTCTCTACCTTCTCCATAGACATTCAACTACATAGACATTCAGCTACATTCCATTCTATCTCTCTACCTTCTCCATAGACATTAATTCAGTGTCTATCTCAAAGGGGCCGCGGATATCGAGGACCCTTTTCTTTTCCTACACACCAACTCCCTCATTGACTGCCCTTCCCCACAGATCTTCCATTCTACCTCTCTACCTTCTGTATAGATATTCAACTACATTATCTGTCTCTCTACCTTCTCCATAGACATTAATTTGGTGCCTATCTCAAAGGTGCCGCAGATATCGGGGACCCTTTTCTTTTTCCACAGACCAACTCCCTCATTGACTGCCCTTCCCCACAGATATTCCATTCTATGTCTCTACTTTCTCCATAGATATTCAACTACATTATCTATCTCTCTACCTTCTCCATAGACATGCAACTACATTACCTATCTCTCTACCTTCTCCATAGAGATTAATTTGGTATCTATCTCAAAGGGGCCGCGGATATCGTGGACCATTTTCTTTTCCCACACACCAACTCCCTCATTGACTGCCCTTCCCCACAGATCTTCCATTCTACCTCTCTACCTTCTGTATAGATATTCAACTACATTATCTGTCTCTCTACCTTCTCCATAGACATTAATTTGGTGCCTATCTCAAAGGTGCCGCAGATATCGGGGACCCTTTTCTTTTTCCACAGACCAACTCCCTCATTGACTGCCCTTCCCCACAGATATTCCATTCTATGTCTCTACTTTCTCCATAGATATTCAACTACATTATCTATCTCTCTACCTTCTCCATAGACATGCAACTACATTACCTATCTCTCTACCTTCTCCATAGAGATTAATTTGGTATCTATCTCAAAGGGGCCGCGGATATCGTGGACCATTTTCTTTTCCCACAGACCAACTCCCTCATTGATTGCCCTTCCCCACAGATCTTCCATTCTACCTCTCTGCCTTCTGTATAGACATTCAACTACATTATCTATCTCTCTGTCTTCTCCACAAACATTCAATTGCATTGGGTGTCTATCTCAAAGGGGCCGCGGATATTGGGGACCCTTCCCTTTCCCGTAGATATTCCATTCTACCTCTCTACCTTCTGTATAGACATTCAACTACATTATCTATCTCTCTGTCTTCTCCAAAGACATTCAATTGCATTGCGTGTCTATCTCCAAGGGGCCACGGATATCGAGGACCCTTTTCTTTTCCCACACACCAACTCACTCATTGACTTCCATTCTACCTCTCTACCTTCTCTATAGACGTTCAATGGCATGAGTTGTGTCTATCCCTCTCTACCTTAGGTGTCATGAGTCTGCCTGGGTGCTTCTCTCTCTCTCTCTCTCTCTGTCTCTGGCTGTCCCTTTCCCGCGAGGCGTGGGAGAAGGGCACGGGTGGGCTGCCTCTCTCTCTCTCTCTCTGGAAGGGGAAGAGACTCACTCACAGCCAGTTGCTGGCGTTGGCGGAGAAGGCGGCGAGGATGAGGAGGAGCAGGGAGCGGAGGAGGTACCGGCCGGGGCTCATCCTGGAGGACGAACGAGGAGAACGAGGAGAACGAGGAGGAGAAGCAGCAGGCGCCCAGGCAGGCAGGCAGGCGGGCGGGCAGGCAGGCGGAGACGGAGGCTGTCAGCTGGGAAGCGGGGAAGGAGGGAATGCAGGAATGAAGAAGGAGTGGACGGGGTCCGCCTCCCTGCCTTCCTTCGAGGCGGGACAGGCGGCGGGGGAGGAGCGGCCCCGGCAGACCTCCTCCTCCCCCCCTCCGAGCTGGCGGCACTTCTTCTTCTTCTTCTTCCCTGCCTTGGCCAGCTGGGGCTCTCCTTCCAGGTGTTGGGGACTACAACTCCCACCATCCCTAACAGTCCTGGGAAAGACTCCGGACCTTGGGAAACTACAACTCTCATGATACAATCACCCTAGGGATGCCCCGGACCTTGGGAAACTACAACTCCCAGGGTCCAATAGCCCTAGGGATGCCCTGGACCTTGGGAAACTACAACCCCCAGGATACCCTAGACCTTGAGGAACTATAACTCTCAGGATACAATCGCCCTAGGGATCCCCCGGACCTTGGGAAACTACAACTCCCAGGATCCAATAGCCCTAGGGATGCCCTGGTCCTTGGGAAACTACAACTCTCAGGATACAATCACCCTAGGGATGTCCCGGACCTTGAGGAACTACAACTCCCAGGATATCCTGGACCTTGAGGAACTATAACTCCCAGGATCCAATAGCCCTAGGGATGTCCCGGACCGTGGGAAACTACAACTCTCAGGATACAATCACCCTAGGTATGTCCCAGACCTTGAGAAACTACAACTCCCATGATCCAGTAGCCCTAAGGATGCTCCGGACCTTGAGAAACTACAACTCCCAGGATACCCTGGACCTTGAGGAACTATAACTCTCAGGATACAATCGCCCCAGGGAAACTACAACTCTCAGGATCCAATAGCCCTAGGGATGCCCCGGACCTTGAGAAACTACAACCCCCAGGATAACCTGGACCTTGAGGAACTATAACTCCCAGGATCCAATAGCCCTAGGGATGCACCGGACCTTGAGGAACTATAACTCTCAGGATACAATTGCCCTAGGGAAACTACAACTCTCAGGATACAATTGCCCTAGGGAAACTACAACTCTCAGGATACAGTCGCCCTAGGGAAACTACAACCCCCAGGATACAATTGCCCTAGGGATGCCCCGGACCTTGAGGAACTATAACTCTCAGGATACAATTGCTCTAGGGAAACTACAACTCTCAGGATACAATTGCCCTAGGGATGCCCCGGACCTTGAGAAACTACAACTCTCAGGATCCAATAGCCCTAGGGATGCCCGGACCTTGAGGAACTACAACTCTCAGGATACAATCACCCTGGAGGGAGGATGACTATGTGGTCCTGGGAAAGACTCCAGACCTTGGGAAATTGCAACTCCCAGGATCCAATAGCCCTAGGGATGCCCCGGACCTTGGGAAACTGCAACTCTCAGGATACAATCACCCTAGGGATGTCCCGGACCTTGAGAAATTGCAACTCCCAGGATCCAATAGCCCTAGGGATGCCCTGGATCTTGGGAAACTACAACTCTCAGGATACAATCACCCTAGGGATGTCCCGGACCTTGAGAAATTGCAACTCCCAGGGTACAATCACCCTAGGGATGTCCCGGACCTTGAGAAACTACAATTCCCAGGATACAATCGCCCTAGGGATGCCCCGGACCTTGACAAACTATAACTCCCAGGATCCAATAGCCCTAGGGATGCCCTGGACCTTGAGAAACTACAACTCCCAGGATACAATCGCCTTAGGGATGCAGTCTGATAGATCATTTGAACTGTATGGGTCTCTTTGCCATGGGGTCCTGGGAATTGTAGTTTGCCCCTCCTCTGTTTGGCAGGAAAAGGCTCCAAACCATGGGAAACTACAACTCGCAGGATCCCATCACCCTAGGGATGCAGTCCGATAGATCCCTAGAACCGCATGGGTCTATGCCATGGGGTCCTGGGAGTTGTAGTTTGCCACACTCCCCATTTTAGCAGGGATAAGGCTCCACTCCTTGGGAGACCACAACTTCCACATCCCATAGCATGGAAACAGGGGTAGTTCTGTGCTATGCGGTCCTGGGAAAGGCTGCAGACCTTGAGAAACTACAACTCTCAGGATACAATCACCCTAAGGATGCCCTGGGGCTGGACCTTAAGAAACTATAACTTTCAGGATACAATCTCCCTAGCGATGCCCCGGACTTTGAGAAACGACAACTCCCAGGATCCAATAGCCCTAGGGATGCCCTGGACCTTGAGGAACTACAACTCTCAGGATACAATCACCCTAGGGATACAGTCTGATAGATCACTTGAACTGCATGGGTCTATGCCATGGGGTCCTGGGAGTCGTAGTTTGCCCTCCCCCTCTATTTGGCAGGATAAGGCTCTGGACCTTGGGAAATAACAACTCCCATATCCCCTAGCATTATGGCAGGGGCGGTTCAAGTGGGGTGTCTGTCTACTATGTGGTCCTGGGCATCAAAACAGGGATGGTTCTCTGGCATGCGGTCCTGGGAAAGGCTTCAGATTGTTGGAAACTACAACTCCCAGGATCCCATCTCCCTGGGGATGCAGTCTGATAGAGCACTTGAACTGCATGGGTCTATGCCACAGGGTCCTGGGAGTAGTAGTTTGTCCCCTGTATTTGGCAGGATAAGGCTGCTGACCTTGGGAAACTACAACTCCCAGGATCCAAACACCTCAGGGATGCAGTTTGATACATCATTTGAACTGTATGGGTCTCTTTGCCATGGGGTCCTGGAAGTTGTAGTTTGCCACACTCCCCCTTTTGGCAGGGATAAGGTCCAGACCTTGGGAAACTACAACTCCCACATCCCATAGCATGGAAACAGGGATAGCTCTGTGCTATGCAGTGCTGGGAAAGGCTACAGACCTTGGGAAACTACAACTCTCAGGACACAATCACCCTAGGGATGCAGTCTGATAAATCATTTGAACGGCATGGGTCTATGCCATGGGGTCCTGGGAGTTGTAGTATGCTCCCCCTCTATTTGGTAGGATAAGGCTCCAGACCTTGGGAAACTACAACACTCAGGATCCAATAGCGCTAGGGATGCCCCAGATCTTGGGAAACTACAACTCCCAGGATTCAATAGCCCTAGGGATGCCCCAGACCTTGGGAAACTACAACTCTCAGGATACAATCGCCCTAGGGATGCAGTCTGATAAATCATTTGAACTGCATGGGTCTATGCCATGGGTCCTGGGAGTTGTAGTTTGCCCCCTCCTCTTTTTGGCAGGAATAAGGCTCCAGACCTTGGGAAACTACAACTCCCATATTCCATAGCATTGAGGCAAGGGCGGTTCAAGTGTGGTGTGTACCACGTGGTCCTGGGAAAGGCTTTCCAGGCCTTGGAAAACTACAACTTGCCCAACACAACAAACTTTAAGTTCTGATGGAGTTTCAGGGGGTGAACCTGGCATGATGGGAGTTGTAGTTCACCCACAACCTAATGCATTTTGTACAGCTGACTTTTCTGAAAATGGAAAATATTGGTAATTAATTAATTAATTAATTATTAATAATAATCCCAATTTTAACGTTTTGATCCACCTTAAAGATAACACACAATTTCTACGAAATCCACCTGAGAATGAAATCGCCAAAGGTGGAACGAGAATAGTCAGGCAGGTCCTGGCTTGCCCTGCGACGCTCTGCGTTGAAAGGAAGAGAAAGAAGGGAAGAGAGAAAAAGGAAGAGAAAGGAAAGAGGGAAAGGAATGAGAAGAAGGAAGGGAAGGGAGGAAGGAAGGAAGGAAGAGAAAGGAAAGAGGAAAGAAGAGAAGAAGGAAGGAAAGAAGGAAAGGAAGGAAGGAAGGAAGGAAGGAAGAAGAGAAAGGAAGAAGGAAGAAGAGAAAAGAGAGGAAGGAAAGGAAGAGAAAGGAAGGAGGGAAAGAAGAGAAGAAGGAAGGAAGGAGGAGGAGGAAGGAAGAGAAGGAAAAGAAGGAAAGGAAGAAGGAAGGAAAGGAAGGAAGGAAGGAATGGAGGAAGGAAGGAAGGAAGGAAGAGAAGGAAGGAAGGAAAGGAAGGAAGGAAGGAAAGAAGAGAAAGGAAAGAAGGAAAGGAATGAGAAGAAGGAAGGAAGGAGGAAGGAAGGAAGGAAGAGAAAGGAAAGAAGGAAAGAAAGAAGAAGGAAGGGAATTAGAAAGGAAGGAAGGAAGGAAAGAACTAGGAAGGAAGGAAGGAAGGAAGGAAGGAAGGAAGAGAAAGGAAAGAAGGAAAGGAATGAGAAGGAAGGAAAGGAAGAGAAAGGAAAGAGGGAAAGGAATGAGAAGAAGGAAGGGAAGGGAGGAAGGAAGGAAGGAAGAGAAAGGAAAGAAGGAAAGTAATTAGAAGAAGGAAGGAAGAAGGAAGGAAGGAAGGAAGGAAGGAAGGAAGGAAGGAAGGAAGAGAAAGGAAAGAAGGAAAGGAATGAGAAGGAAGGAAAGGAAGAGAAAGGAAAGAGGGAAAGGAATGAGAAGAAGGAAGGGAAGGGAGGAAGGAAGGAAGGAAGAGAAAGGAAAGAAGGAAAGTAATTAGAAGAAGGAAGGGAAGGAAGAGAAAGAAGGGAAGAGGAAGGGTGGAAGAGAAAGGAAAGAGGGAAAGGAATTAGAAGAAGGAAGGAAAGGAAGGAAGGAAGGAAGGAAGGAAGGAAGAGAAAGGAGAAGGAAAGGATAGGAAGGAAAGGAAGAGAAAGGAAAGAAGGAAAGGAATGAGAAGAAGGAAGGAAAGGAATAGGAAGGAAGGAATGAAGGAAGGAAGAGAAAGGAAAGAGGGAAAGGAATGAGAAGAAGGAAGGGAAGGAATAGGAAGGAAGGAAGAGAAAGGAAAGAAGGAAAGTAATGAGAAGAAGGAAGGAAAGGAAGAGAAAGAAGGGAAGAGGAAGGGTGGAAGAGAAAGGAAAGAGGGAAAGGAATGGGAAGGATAGGAAGAGAAAGGAAGGAAGAGGAAGGAAAGAAGGGAAGTAATGAGAAGAAGGAACGATAGGAAGAGGAAGAAAGAATGAAGGAATAGAAAGGAAAGATGAGAAGACGGAAGGAAAAGAAGAGGAAGAAGGGAAGAGGAAGGGTGGAAGAGAAAGGAATGAGGGAAAGGAATGAGAAGAAGGAAGGATAGGAAGAGGAAG